TCTTTCAAAGAACGAGCTTTTTGATTTGTTAATTCTTTGAACTGTTTTCTTCATCTTAATTGAATTAATTTCTGCTCTAATCTTTATGTTTTCTTCCTGTCTTTGGGCTCTGGGTTGGTTTGCTCTTCCATTTCTAGATGTCAGAGGTGCATCATTAAGGTGTTTATTTGTTCCCTTTCTGTTTTCCTAATGTGCGAGTTCACAGCTATAGATTTCCCTCTGAGAACTGCTTTCATCGCATCCAATAAATTTCGATAAGTTGTGGTTGAATTTTCATTGAATTGTAGATGTTGTTCAATTTCTTCTTTAGTTTCATCTGTGACCTATTGGCTACTGAGTAGGGTGATGTTTAATTTCCATGTATTTAGGGTTTTTTTTTTTTTCTGGTTTCTCTTGTTATTTCCAGTTTCATTGCACTGTGGTCAGATAATATGCCTGGGATAATTTCTGTTTTCTTGCATATACTTAAGCATTATCTATGTGGTCTGTTTTAGAAAATGACCCATGTGCAGTTGAGAAAAATGTGTATTCAGCTGTGTTTGGGTGGAACACTCTGTATATGTCCACCAAGTCCATTTGTTTCAAGCTCTGATTTAGTTCTGCTACTTCTTTGCTAATATTTTGTCTGGTTGACCTATTTTTTTGAGATAAGGGGGTGTTAAGGTCTCCTGTTAAGATTGTGGTATTAGATATTAGATTTTTTATGTCCATTAAGATTTGTCTTATGTAGTTGGGTGCTCCTGTGTTTGGTTCATAGATATTTATGAGTGTTACCTCTTCCTGTTGAACTTTTCCCCTCACCAGTATATATGGCCTTCTTTATTTTGTTTTGATCATTGTTGGTTTGAAGTTGAGACTGTCTGAAAACAGGATCAGTACCCCTTTTTTCTATGGTGCGGGGGTGTGTAGTATTGTTTTCCATCCTTTGACTTTCAGCCTATGAATATCTTTTGAGTTAACTGTGTTTCTTGCATATAGCATATTGTTGGATTTTTTTCCTAATCCACTGTGCCAGTCTATTTCTCTTAACTGGTGAATTGAGTCCATTTACAGTTGATGGTTATAATTGAGATGTGTTTACTTATGATTGACATGTTATTTACCTGTTGTCATTTACTCCTTTTTCTCTTGTGTTTAATTGCTTGCCCTATTTAGTTGATTACTTCTGATCTCATTCGTGGAGTTCTGATCATTTTGGTCCCTCTCTAGAACATCTTTCAGTAGCCTGTGTAGGGCTGGCTTTGTCATCACGAAATTCTTTAGCTGTTC